CTGTGCTGGCTCCGCCGATACTAGATGACTAGTCGCGTGCGACGGTCACACACCCCATGACACAAACCCAGCAGATCAGACAGCTACATGACTCAGTCCAGATGTATCCCACGTGCATGACGTCACTCACATATAACTAGCATCGGCACGTGAGGCAATACCGTTAAAGTTTTTTAGGCGGAGGCTCTAGGCTCTAATCATTTATTAACCCTCGCGCGTGCATGCGCAGCGAGGGTAAGGGAGTTGTTCCGTAAGTGTGTGCTGCAGTCTGTCAGTCTAGCTGTCAGTCTGTCTGTCTGTTACCACGTTTTCTGCCACCGCGCGCACGAAATCAGGTAAATAACGATATGATCGGGTTCGAGTGCTACAGTGGGGTTGATTTTTAAAAAGGCGAGATTTTCGTAAAACGACTACAAACTACTGTGTTTTAAAGTTATGGCGTGGAAAACCAAGTGAACAAGCACATAGGTAACTTCGCACCGGCTTACCCACCTCGGGCCGCGTCCGTTCGCTCTGGTGTGGTCTTGATGCACAACAAGTCACAACGAAGGCCATCGTATCGCGACTCCCGCATGCTATACTACTGTAGCTAGCCCCGTGCCCGACTTCTCCGGTCGAGCTACTAGCGGCCCGCCCGCCCCATATCCACGAGTAGAAAGGCATAAAAAGAGCCCAGCCCACCCCTCAATGTAGTGTACCGCACATGCGCAGTGGGTTGAAGTTTAGTGCTTTTCCGTAAATTATTACACTCCTCGCGCGCATGCGCAGCGAGGTTACGGTAGTTGGGTGTTGTCTGTCCTGTGTGTGTGTGTGTGTCTGTCTGTTCTCGTCTGCTCACTCTGGCTGTTCGGTCGTCTACACACAGGATCCACCTACCGAACGGGCAATGAAGGTCTAGAACTATGTGGGGTTTTCTCTGAGAAACTGAGATGACATCTGCTCCGTTTGCAGGAGCTAGAGCGCGCTGACAAAAAAGAGCTATATGCACAATACGCACGGACTGGAGAGGCTTACCTTGGTCTGATCGATCCGCGTGCTCTGCGTACCTCAGACCAGTGGCACCAGAAGATGCACGCAGGAGTGGTACTCGCCTCTCGCATCATGCGATCTAGGAGTGTAGTTAGCATGCCGCGCGTCAGACTCTGCCGAGCTGGGACGAGACTCACGATGTAACAGCTAAAAGCTAACCCAGCCATCAATTCGTGTGTACGGCGCATGCGTTTCACTTACGCGTGCGCGTAACAATGTGCGCCGAGGAGTTTTGCCTATCAGTGCTTTCATTATCTTATCTATCTGTTACATAAAAAGACCACTTCGAATTCGGACTATATTTTTGGAATCCTGTTAACATTTTCCACCATACAGTATAAGTTGCAACCAAAATATCAACATTATTCATGAGAAAGGTTTATAGACATGTGGTGCTACCTCATTAGCAGCTTTTTCGTATCCGATGGAGGTGTCGGGTTCAGAGGTCAGATAGAGCCCGTGTGGTCCCGATTGGTGGGTGTGGTCAACACAGTGTAGGTCTACGTTGTAATAGAGAGACCAGAGGAGGCGTGGTCTGGAGCCCGACGAGTCTGAGAGGGAGTTTTTAAGGGAGTAAACGTAGCTTGGGATAAGTTTTATCAATGAGGGCAGACCTGTGTCGAGGGGGTCAGTGAAGAGGGCCCTGACTGCTGGCTGGAGGTCCTGCTCAGCCGTCGCCTCACTACCACTGCACTGCATGTGCACCAGAACTGGGAGAAGAAAATTTCAGTTCCAATATCTTCACGTGTCGGGATTGAAACACAGGTATAATGTGCCGTAGTAAAGAAATGGGTTTTGAATTTCTGTTAATGGAGAAATCGTTTCTATGTGTAAACTATTTAGTATCTCTGAGCTTCGAGAATGAGAATAAGTTTGGCAACGACAAAAAAAGGCAACGTAAGCCAGCTGAGGAAAACCAAGAAAGATGAGAGAGAGAGTTTCTTTTCCCGTCCCTCACATGTTCCAGGAGGGCAGTTGTTGGAGGGAGGGTCCAGCTGGAGGACTCTGATGACGGCGGTGGAGTGGGCGGAGTCCAGGGACCCGGGCGGGAGGGTGAGGAGAGACAGCTGGGGAGAGGGGGAGGAGGAGACTGTTGAGGGTTTGACCACATAGCAGTAAACCTTAGCGAATTTCGTCGTGTTTTTTTGCCGTCTGCGAAAATTTTTGGGCGAAAATTTTAGGCAGGGCATAAATTGAATATCGAAGCAAGCCAAAAATGTCTACTCAGTACTTGTATACTCGTAGAGCACGTGATACAGAATTAACATCCCGTAAGTAAGGTATTAAGATGGTCCACTACACATACATATACTCAGCGTAGTTAAGTCTTGGCACGGCGATTTTTACACGCAATGGCGCATTGCGGCAATAATTTCGTCATGGCCACGCACGCGCACCCATGCAGTACGTAGGCACGTCATATCACACGCACTTAACTGCACTGAGTAAAGAGAAGTGACACCGTCACCAATAATTGCCAAACGAAACGATGGATACATACATGGCTTGAGAACAAGGCTACCAAGTTGAGACCGTGATTCATCTGGTGATTTCCTGAATGACGCAATACAGCAAAAAGTATTTCCTAAACTTCTCCTGATGGTAACTCTTCGATTTTTAGATTGGAATATGTTCCCCAGAAGGGGATGGGCTACTCCTAGCAGCAGTGCAAGGCTAGGGTAACCCGTGGAAGGGGCGAAGCAAGCTTCACTCCACCTTCCCAGCTTCAAAAATTACTGTAATATCGAGCAGACAGTGTTCTGCATACCAGATATTTAAAACTGGTAAGAACAGAATTTTCTAACTTGATCTTAGCCGATAGGCCGAGAAGCGATGACAGAAACCTTTTCGACACTGCTTATATCTGGAGACTTGCACCCAACACTTGTGGTTTTGTGATGTGTTAATGATATTCATAACCAGCTTGCCGTACATATTCTGATTAGTGGGAGGAATTAATTAGTCACAACTTCACAGGAGTTTTGTAAACAAGTTACAGTGGATAATGACTGTACATGGTGCTGTGTGATGTTTATAGTCACTTGGCCACTTTCACTGTGTCAACAACAAGGTACCTTTCCCCCATTCCCTCCCTCCCTCCCTCATTCCCTCCCCCCTGAATTGCTGGACCACCAAGTTTTTTTCTCTGAGAGAACAGAACACAAACCTTGCCATTTGTGCCAGGCAGTGGTGAGTCAGTGACAAATATCCCTCTGGAGACTCTCGTTGTTCTGTGCAGAGAATTGAACATCACACACAGTGAGCACGTGCGTGTGTGAGTATGTGTAGCTAAAGGAGTGGCTGAGTGGCTCACTTGATGCTGTCTTTGAAACCCGTCATTTGTGAGAAGAAAGCAGAGGACAGGACAGCTGACCTGCACCAATCAATAACAAACCAAACCATCAACACTGGCTCTGAAAGAGTTAAATTTCTCTCACGAGCATTTGATTTTCTGTCCCGAGGAGCAGACAACAGAGGAGACAGTGTTGTCGCCAGATGAGGTAACGATGGAGCTCACGTGACGCTGGAGGCAGTACACACCTCCATACACCGCACTCAACCTAACAGTCACGTGACAATCACGGCCTCAGTCACATGATAGTCATGTGACAGGCATTATCTACCTGCAAAAGGCCTGGGGTAGTTCTCCACCTCCAAATATGGGGAAGAGAAACGGAGCATTTCCATAGCGACCAAGGGAATTGATAAACACTTGTGTTGCCTGCAGTCCCTATAGAGAACAAAATTAACACACACACACACATTTTTCTGACTATGGGAGAGAGGGGAAGAGAGAAGGAGGAAGGAAGCGTGTGTGTGTGTGTGTACCTCTAGAGTGGTGGCTGAGTCAGGTACCATGGCAATGGAGTGACGGATGAAATTGACCAGATTTGGGGTGAGCTCCTTCGTATTCAGGTAATCTTCAAACGACCGAGACTCAGAGTCTGTACAACGAAGACGGCAGTACAGTGGAACCCCTCTCTAATGACACCCCTGAAATGAGGACACCTCTCTAATACGGACAATTTCATTGGTGTCTGGATTAGAGGGGTTCCACTGTATACCCATGAAACGTTATTTGATGGATGAAAAGTCCAGTGAGGAAGAACCTTGGTATTCCTGCGGGATGTTTCTGGAAGTCGGCACAGAATGTCAGGAATTTCATCATTTTCCTCTTCTCCATCATAGTCACTGCCTTACTGCTGAACACATCCGACCTGGAGCAAGGTACCTACACACAGGGGGGCATAGAGGGCAGACAAAATCTAAAATACAACAGATAGTGGGGAGAAAATTAGTGGGAAAAACTATCGAGGGAGAACAATTTTGCGAATCATTTCGAACCCTCCGCTAATGTGAAATTTTGTGGGCAGGGACATTTGTATTGAGGCACAGGTAATTCACAAAATGTCTTCTCTGCGAAATTCTGCATTTGTCCATTGAAATGTTCCGGACAGTCATGCAAACCCATTCTTTTTTTGGATTGGCTTGCTAGAAATACTTATTTCTATTTCTTTATTTTCACACAGAAATCGTGTAGTTCTGGATTGAGATGTTAAGACCTGTTGAATTGAGTGTGT